TAAAAGCATAACATCAAAATGTTTGCATGACATGAGAAATTATTTTTAAGGAGGATGCTAAATAAGCTTTTTAGCTTCACTGGCTCTTAGTCAATTTAGTCAACCTAAAATCACTAACTTTGGCAGTCACACCATTGGGTGATATACAACTGATTTCCCACTAGCTTTGCTCTAAATTATATCTCTGAGATATGGATTGTGATAACAATGCCTGGATTACTTTCCAGGGATATAAAGGCCTTTTTTTGCTGAAAACACTAATCTTTGAACTTACAGAAATCTGGTAGGTGTCTAAAATGGGATAAAATCTTGTCATCTCTATTTGCATATTATGTCTGTCCCATTTGCTATCTGAAGCTTTGGGTCACATTCTCCTCAGCTCTGCATACACATGTTGATCATTTTCAAATGTTTGGTCCAAAACTGTTATAAAGGACTAACTTGGCCCACTGGAACTGGTATTTTTGCTTTTTCTTTCTGTCTCCTCTCTTTTTTAACCTTAATCCTTTTGCTTCTTCAGAAGCCACCAAAACTTCAGCACCCAAAATCCTTTGGCCCTATCATAGGATCCAGACCCACTAGGCTGGGATGTTTTGCACAGGATGACAGCACCAGCTACTCCAAAATCCCACACCCTCTTGGAAAATTGATCATGACGACCCCAAAATAAACATCTTTGAAAACATTCCCTACCCAATGGTAATTATTGGAATTTAGCCCATGTCAACAAAACAATAAAAACCAGCTGCTCTCTTTGTCCTGGGAGCAGCTGCTCAGTCACTCTCTTGCCCAATTAAACTGTTGACTCTTTTAGCTGAAGCCCCAATTTGACAGAAGTCCTCCTCCCCTTAGTAACTCTTTGCCTGTGCCAGAGTGCATGTGCTTGCAATATTTGGCCCAGTCTCATTTCTACTGTTTGCTACGTCAAGAGAGCCCACTGTCTGGTATCGTATCTTTGGTGATCCTGGAGGAACAGGACTCCTGGACACTGACCCCATGTAAGCAACTATGCAGCCGCCCGAGATTTCTTTTCCCCGGAAATTCAGTGCAGCAGGTGAATTCCAACTTCCTTTGACCTGTTTTATTTTCCCATCTCACAGGCAATGCTCCTCCAATTCCTGCTTTTCCTTTCTCTCTTTCCCTCTACCTCTTTTTGTTTTCAAAGACAAAAGGGCACAAACTCTAGATGCCCTGCATTTCATCTTCTCTTTTGTGAGTCACTGGGGAATTCCCCTAGTAATGCAGAATCAAGTGGCCCTTGGTCAGTGACCGATGCTGCCCTTGAGAGCTGGTGGTTTTCAGACATTAACTGTGCAGAAGTCAGAGGTCTTTCTTCCCTTCCACTCTAGTAAAAGTCCCAAACAGGGCAGGCCTTCCAGGAAAACATCCAGTTTTGAAGGAGAATGAATCTCTTAAGAGGATCCAGGTGGAAAAGTGTTCAGGCACACCCTTCCCCTCAACTGGCTGCAACAAAAGTTTAAAATTTCTGTTTTGGTTTTCTGTACCATGTTTCCATTGTGATTTATACTGTTTCCTGGCATATTGCAAAAGGTCTTCCTCCTTCTCTTTGGTTCACAATTCCTGTTGACAAGCCTGACCTCATTTTCTCTGCCTATTGCTGTTTCCCCTGGGGAAGAGAGTTTTGACTTCCTTGTCCAAGGATGTGATGCATTTCCTTGGAATCTGGCCACACTCTGCTCTTGGCATCGTCCTCCACACAGTATAGAACATACACTCTGTAATTTTAGTCTCTCTTATCTATCGTCTCCTCTTCCTCCTTTTGAAACTCCTTGTTTGTCGTTCTTCTGACCCCAACTGATGCATTCTAGCAACTTGTGAGATTTCTTCCAGGTTAGAAAATTTGAATGGATTCCCTGGGTGGGGCCCATCACAGGCTGCCCTTACCCTGTTGTGTCAGGTCCTTGATCGAGTATATGGGAGGAGTACATTATAATATTCATCTGGATGCTTGCTCTTGGGTTTTATACTCCTCCTGAGTACCATTCATTGTGGGACATCAAATACACAGAGGTCTTAGATATGAGAAAACTAGAAGAACCCAGTTTTTTTTGGCTGTCTTCACCCAGCTTCCTTTAGATGACAGTATAGAAAGTTTAGGAGCTGCCAGACACAACCCCTGGGATCCAATTAATGTGCCTTCTGTCACATGGAGAGTCACACAGGAATGCCCTTGACATCGACATCCCCATCTGGGATGACTAACCTGACACCCACCCAAAAAAGGCTCCACTGGGAAATGGTTCTGTGATGGAATAAAAATAATGGGTCCAAGTGGCCAGGTGGCTGCAGGAATCCAAATGAGTATCAGTCTGGGAAGCCTACAGTCACCCACCACGGGGTAGATCATTAGCGAGCCCCCCCCCAATTTCCTGTGAACAGTTTTAAAACAGCACTCAAACTGCAATTACAGGACCAACCAATATAGTTTTGTTTGTTTGTTTTGCGTTTTGCTGTCAATGTTTTTGTTCTCTTCTGCTGCTTTCTCAAGGTTACTTGCAAATGTGTTCTTCAACCAATCCTAATTAGAACGAAAACATGTTAATTCTTAGACCAAAGAAAACAGGATGGAAGGGAGATTTTAAAATTTATTCTGCAATAGAGTTTACATAAGACTAACAGCAGAAAAGAACCTTAGAGTTTGGCTGTGTAGACAAACGGCCTTAACTTGTTTCATTTTGTCATAACTTAGATTCAATTCTCTTATTTAGAAATCAGTAAGTGTGCTTAGATTATTCTTATTATTGAAATTTCACATAAAGCTATATAAATTTAGTTGATGCCTGTTTCAGGTACAGCAATTTAACTTTTAATGTTATTCCTTGATAAAATCAAATGTGAATGTATTGATATGAAATCCAGTTCTATTTCTCTGTCTAAAACAAGGTTTTCTTAAAACATTGATCTGCCCTTGGTAAAATTTGCAAGAACTAGCAAAGATTTCATGTTTTATCGAGATCATTTTTATGTTTCCTGCTATCTCCATTAGACTTTGATTACTTAGAAAAATTGAGACTTGGGGCTGGGGATTTAGCTCAGCGGCATAAGCACCTGCCTTGCAAGCAGGCAGTTGTGAGTTCGATCCCAGGTACTGATAAAAAAGAAAAATTGAGTCTTAAGCAATTGAAGTTTTAAAATCATCTATTTGCTGTTGTTTTTGCTTTTTTTTTTTAATTTTTATTTATTTTTTTTTTAAGAGGAAAAAGAGAAAAACACAAAACAAACCAAAGCGGCGTAAGGGTACACGCAATACAGAACTACAAAACAAAACAAAACAAAACAAAAAAACATAACAGTAAGAAATCACCTGCTAGTAGATTACACGCTATCTTCTTGAAAATAATTCCTCAAATCACAGTATCAAAGAACACAAGGTGGACATTCAAACAGGGAGACTGCAAACAGCTGTGTTCAATGTTCCAAAAACATTGATAAAGTCAGCTATTTAACACCCCCAAACACACTTGCTGTTATATCCGTTAGAGCTCTTTTTCTTTTTTTTTTTTCCCTCTCTTTTTTACAACAAAATTTACACATCTTGGATTTTATTACTCCTTAGTGCTTATTACTTTCTTTGGGGGGGGAAGAATACAGTCAAATATGGCAAAACAAAGCTGTCAGTCAATACCAAGGATAGACATAGCACATGGTGTAGAACAGAGTACAAGTTTATCAACCATGGTTATCAACGTTGTCCCTTGTTTCCTTAAAAAGAATTGTCTATCTTATTAGATATTATAAAGTTGGACAAAACAGTAGAGAACAAGACCAATAAAACTTAGGCATTGTAAACATTACAGGACTTCCAAAGAAGACAATAGTCAAACCAGAATGGGTATCTTAGTGAATCTTATTGTCTTCAAAGTAGTTGCCTATTTCTTCAAACTTGATACTATCATATAGAATGGAACAGAGTCTAATCAGTCAAAACAAGATCGTGGGAGTACTACAGGACTTCAAAACAAGTTAATAGGAAATCGAAAAGAGTTACTATTTATATATCCTAATTTTTTTGAATTTTTTCTTTAATTAAGACAAACATAAGAAATGACTAAATAATTTTTTTTTGAAACAATAAGGGGGAGATTGAGATAAAACAGGACATAACAATATAACAATAGAGGTCACAGCATGACTGTTTCAACAACCTAGTACTTCACCACCTTATAACCTGACTTAATAGTAGTTACCATAGTGTCTTTTTCCTTGAAATATTTGGATAAAACTTCATATACTCTAGCTTCAAATATTTTCATATCAAGAAGCCCAGAATAAAGCCTTTCTAATTAATGAGTGAAAACTTTATAAGGCTTCAAGGCCACCTAATGGGGAATCATGATTACCACATATTTTTATATATTTGAATCATTATTTACATTAGGGAAACTATTCGGTATTCACACATGCGAGATTGATTTATTTCACTAATGAGTATGGTCTCAAGCTGCGCCCATTTATTGATAAATATCTCAATGTGATCCTTCTTTATAGCTGAATAATACTCCATTGTATAGAAATACTACAACTTTTTTATCCATTCCTCAGTTGATGGGCACTTGGGTTGTTTCCAAGATCTGGCGATTACAAATTGTGCTGCTATAAACATAGGTGCACATATTTTGGTACCGAGAAACTCATGACCTTGTGCTCGCCAGGCAGGCGCTTTCCCACTGAGCTAAATCCCCAGCCTGAAAGGGTTTTGGCCCAGGCTGGATACTGTAGCCGGTAAAGCCAGGAAGCTCCTATCTCCCCCACCCTTAGGAATTGCCTCTGGCGCCAAACTAAGACCAATGGGCTACCTGTGCATCCCTAATGCCCCTTTGAGTTCCACCCCAAGCCGAGGCTACTTATGTGCCTCACTCCTCGTGTTCCATGGAGAGATGGCCGGCCCTGGGGTGGAGATGCCATGCCCCAGGGGGTCGGGGTTGTCTCTCCCCGCATTCCCAAAATAAAGGTTATTTATATTTTATACTTCTTTTCAGCCGCCCGCCAGTCCTCCTCCCACAATTCTATCAGATGGTTCCCTGACCAGGAACAGCAGGAGAGAGACTCCTGGGGCTGGTTCCCAGTTTTGAGTCCCCTGCTGTTCAGGACCGACTGGACTGCATCCTGCATTAATTCCCCACTTCTACACTCAGGAACTGTAAGTTTGGCTGCTGGTTTGCAAACAACATCCACCAATTTACCACAGGTGAGCAACTACTCGGAGACAGCCACTGGGCCAGGCTCAGGTGGATTTTCTCCCACTTTGTGTGGGTTCGTGACACTTTCATGTCTTTTAGACAGCCCAAACCAAGGACTTTTTGGGCAAGCCAGTGTCCACTCTGGACTGCCCACACTGAGAGGCCCTCATGTTTTTCCAGAGCTTTTTAAGTTCTCATGGGCAGACAGCCCAAACTAGGGGCTTTCTGGGCAAGCCTGTGTCCATTCTTGGACCGCCCACACTGAGAGACCCTCACATTTAAAGCTTTTTAAGTTCTCACGGCAGAGTGGTTACTCGGCCCACACAAAGTCCACTCATAATATTGGTGACGGACAATTAGGAGTTTGGAGCCATATAGCCAACCCATCGGTCTGGGGTGCAGTGTGACGACTCTAATCCTGACAGACCACGGTCCGTTGTCTCACCTCATTGTAGCCCCATGGGCTAGACCCCACACTAGATTTTATCTCGGGGACCACTTCCTGTCCCCCGCCACAGAAACCATACCTATCTATGGCTTATCACACTGCCGACAAGCTTACAAAACTCTCTATCTTTGTTTTGGGAATGTGCCCCTTTCCTGCCAGCATCCTCCAGGATCCCTCCCCTTCCCCGCACTTAAAGAGATAACAGCCTTTCGGAGTTTTCTCAGTGCCTCCTTTCCTCTGGGCTCCCCTCCTGCCTCACAGCGTCCCTTTGTTTCCCATGTGCGCCAACCCATCCCCCACTGCTGAGATTAAAAATGAGACCAAACAAGGTTGAGATACATATAAGATTTTAAACAGCTTTTTGGCTCTCACACCGTGCTCCAATTCTGTACAGTATCTCGACTCTCATACAGCGCTTCAGGTCCACGTGGGGTTGGCGTTTCTGTGCACCCCACAAACAGTTTTAGCTCCATGTGACAACTCAGCTCCACATCCAACCTATTCCCCACTGCGCCGGCCCATTGGTGCCACCCCATTCCACCATTGTTGCCACCCCATTCCGCCGTTGAGAGATACTCGCAGGACTGTTTTTTTTCAAACAGCTTTTGGCTCTTGCATGCCGCAGTCCCCAGCTCCACACAGCGTGTTTCGGATCTCACGAGGCCAGGTCCCGTGCCCTGGTCCGCACCACGGGTTCAGCTTTTGGCGCCGCGCCCTGGGCCACACGCCCTGCAGGCGGCTCCTGAGGGTGACTGTTCGCCAGCTGCTGGCCACGCGCCTCTGGGAGCAGATTGACACTTGGCTACAAGCTGTGACGCGTCTCCCAGCCCCACCACCGACGCTGCTGCCACGACTGCTGCCATGGCCACTACTGCCAACCCTGCCTCCGCCGCCACCACTGCCGCCACCCTGCTGCCACCGCCCCCCCCGCCACCATGAGCCCGCCTGCCATTGTGGCTGCCACCAACCCCCCCTCCCGCTGTCGCAGCTAAGATGCGTTATTTCCCTGCGCCATCCCAGTGCCATCTTTGCTGTTTCCGGGTGCGATCTCAGCCCGCCCCTACATGCTGTGTCCCAGCACTCACCCTGCCCACTCTGCATGTTCCATCTCAGCCCGCCCCTGCACACTGTGTCATGACACTCACCCCGCTCACTCTTCATGTTCTACCTACGTGCTACATGCCAGATAATCTCCGCCCTGCCCCAAGCGCAACTATGCTCTCTCTACAGGCGCGCTCTGTCTGTCTCAGAGTTCCAAACTGCCTTAGACACTGCGCGTTTCCTAGACAGGCTCCTCCCAAATACAAGTGCTTCTTTCAACACAGACGCATACAACATCTCGCGGCTCCGCTCAAACAGTTTCTTTTTTACAATTCAGCCACTCAAGAGAGGCTATTTTTATTACAATTTTCGAACCATTTATTCAAGGTTAGTGGCCACCTGATAATTTTACCAGCCTTGTTTATCAGTTAAAGCCTACACTAATCTGTTTTAACCACTAAAATTAAGAGATATTTATCAATTCCTTTTGGCTGTGGACCACCAGTAATGTTCTCTGTTAAATTTATTGCTTCTACTATACTGTGTTGTCACCAATCTCCTGTTTAACAACTAAGGTTATAAATTCCTTTTTTGCTGGAAACCACTAGTTCTGTTCCAAGACAAGGGTTTTGTTAAAAATTCTAATGTTGTCCACCACCAGTAATGTTCTCTGTTAAATTTATTGCTTCTACTATACTGTGTTGTTGCCAATCTCCAACAACTAAGGTTATAATAACTTGAGAGTATATACTAAGTTATAATAACTTGAAGATATATTTGTCTTGGTTAAGACTTGTGGGTATATAAAAAGTTATATGAGGCTCAAAAAGATATAATTTTTAAAAGCTTAAAAAGCTGGTAACTTGAGAGTATATACTAAGTTAATACATTTATTCATAAGATTGGTAAACCTTTACTGCAAAATGTTTCCATTAAAGCCTTTTTAGACAGACTAAAACCTTTTTGTTAATTCCACGTGGCACCTTATAAAAAAAAAAGCGATATGCCATCCAGATAAAGCCTGCTGTCTGATATTATACTCCTACATACTTACTTAATTCTACAGATACCTTTTACTGTAGTCCAGATCTCAACCAACAAGGCAAAACTTGACCTTCAAGCTCCACAGAGATCTTAATATGGTTTTTCATATTTTAACACTTATAACACTTGCAGTTCTGAGACAGACAACCTACACAAGGTAGAGCTACCTGCCCCCCCCCTCCAATGCAGCAGAAGACATCAGGCAAAAAAGTGCCTCATCCTGGCGTTCTTTGAGACCTTACTCCAGGGCTGCTGGGCTGTCCTAGCCACCAGAGAGTGGGTGGCCCATCCTAACTTCTAGCCCTCACAAGACACTGCCAGATTCATCGCCAACAAAAATTGCTGCTGAAGACTAAGAGGGGCTAAGGGCCAACAACAACCTGCTTTGTGGGTGTCCGTCTCAGAGTCCAAGTCACATTAAAATTCTCAAGGTAAGACATTCTCTTTATTTGTGGACATAGAGGCCATATATACAGAGTTCTTATTGAGTTTTCAGGCTACTATAATAAATCCTCAATCTCTGATGGGGTATTAAAGATCAACCTATGCCATTTACAAACAGGGCCTGTTTTGTACAGGTCCCAGTCCTAAATCTTAAAATGCTTTTATTCCCTTTTATACAGGCTGACAGATACATTTTGTCTTCTCACTTTGTTTATACTTTTTAGTTCTGTCTAGTAAAAGATGTTACGGAGGAAAAGGTTTTCAGCCCTGACTCTTTATGAATAAGGAGGATAAAGATTCTCAGTACAAGGGTACAGTTGTAACCTTAGTAAAGACACAGTTATAGAGTAGTGTATTTATACACATATTATAGCAAGTTAAAAATCAAGCAGTGGGCTTGGCCTATCCTCCTGCTGCCTGTCACATAAGCATCCTGCTAAATTCAACTAACCCTGACTGTCTGAGTCCAGCTGCTTTTCTTCTGATAATGTGCTGGGAAAATTTGACTATTCCCAGCTTGTTTCTCTTAGTTAAAAGAATATGTAACTCCTTGGTTGGGAGTGGCCCATTCAAGGGCACTTTATCTTTACTTGCTCAGCGTAGGGGTTTTGCAAGCAAAGGGAAAACAAAGGGACATACACACTAAGGGTCAGCAAAATGGCTGCTGTCTGACCAGCATAACCAAGCAGCTTTTATTGAGATTAAGAGCAAAGAAACTCATTGTGCATATTTAGATTATATAACTTTTTTGCTTCTTGTCCTTATAGGACCTCATGTTTTTACCTTACAGAGGGGAAATGTTTCAAGGCCAGCACTTTCTACCAAAATACTGTCAACAGGATGTGTCTGGCACAATGTGGAGTCAGTGTGGCCTCTCCACAACTCAGCTCGATCTCCTTGCCTCCAGGATGTGACTTACTTCATGTAACCAATCATGTAATAACCTGCCATCTGCTTTGTACATTCTGCTCGCAAACTGTCTGTAAACTGAACTCAAAGCTGACTCGTTGCTGGTGATGTGGACTCTGTTATAGTCCCCAGCCCACTGGCGTTAAGCTCAATAAAGTTGCCTTCTAGATTTCTTGGTGCAGAGTCTTCAATCTGGTTTGATACTAGTTTTTCTGCAACATCAGGAGGGAATGAGACAGGTAGGGGCCATCGTGGTATAACAGGAATAATAAAATAAACCTGTGGGCATTATAAACTGCTACCCATCAAAGGATGGCAGGCTTCAGCAGATCAGTCATGAGATGCTGACAAAACCATAAAAGCAAAATGTTTAAACAAGATGAGAAATCATTAATAAGGGGGAACTGAAATAAGCCCTCTAGTTTTTTGGCTCTCAGCCTAAAATCATTCATTTTGGAGGTCACACTGTTGGGAAATATGCTATTTATTTCCTGCTAGCTTTGCTGTATGGAAACACAGTCCTCTGGGTATGACAACAGTTGCTTGGGTTGCTTTCCAGAGACCTGATTGCCACTTTTGCTGAGAACACTGAGCTTTCATCTGAACTTACAGAAATCTGGTAGGTGACTGAAATGGGTTAAAAATCTTAACATCATGCTGGGCATGGTGGCTTATGCCTGTCATCCCAGCAACTCGGGAGGCTGAGGTAGGGGGATCATTGCGGGTGCCAGACCAGCCTAGGCTACAAAGTGAGCTTGAGACTAGGCTGAACTGCATAGTGAGACCCTGTCTCAAAAAGACCAAAACAAAAAAACCCAAACAACAACAACAACAAAAAATACCCTTGACATCTCTGTCTTCATACTGTGTATATCCCTTTGCTGTCTGAACCTCTGGTCAGATTCTCCTCAGTTGTGCATATACACACATTGGTCATTTTCAAATGTTTTGTCCAAAGCTGCTGTACACGGTTAACTGGGCATGTTGCCATTGGAGCTGCTATATGACCCCCTCCACTCTTGCCCCTACCCTTGCACTTCTTTAGAAGCCATAGAAACTCAAGCACCTGAGGTCCCTCAGCCCTATCATAGGACCAAGGCTGTGATGTTTTGCATGGGATAGTGGCACCAACTACTTTTAAATTCTATGCACAGCCTCTAGGATGAGTTGACTGTGACTGATACCGTGACTGTGAGGTGGTGATTGGTGGTCCAAATCCATCACAAAAATAAACACCTCTGAAACTATGCCCCGGACCAATGGCTTTAGTCCATATAAGCAAATCATTAAAAACCAGTTGCTCTCTTTATTCGGGAAGCAGTTTGGTCATTCTTGACCAACTGCTGACTCCCTTCGGTTGGAGCTCTTAGCTAAAGGGCCTTACCCCAAACCTTTACTGTACCAGAGTGTGTGTGCTTGCAATATTTGTATCACCTTTGGCTCAAAAGATCTTATTGTTTGGGATAAATGCTACCGTTCTTTCCATACACAGATTGTTTCCCTAGCTACCCTAGCAATAGGAAATTTCAAGAAACCCGTGTATCTGTCTCCAAGCGAGGGATGTCTTTAAGGCCATGACACTGGAATCAATGCTGCCTCCTGGGGGTCAAGGGTAACTCTGCAACCCGGCTGTGAAAAATCACAGGATGCCTGAAAATTTAAGCAATACTTGTTGAAAACTTTAGGATATTTAAAGATAAAGATTGTTGGGCGGAGGATCAGGCACTAAAACTGTTGACCTCATTTCTTTGTCTTGAACAAGGGCCAAACTCGATATCTGAAGCTATCTTAAGCAGAAGGCCTCTTCCACCCTAATTTGGCCATTTCTTTCATTTCCTGCCTTCCTGTTTCCCAACTGAACAATGAGACCCTCTTTCATTGTTCTTCTTTCTATTTTTTCATTTAAAACATGTTTACAGAGCTCTTGATCAGTGACTCAAGACAAAAGGACAACTCTCTGTTTCATGATGACACTGATGATGGGATCTTTTGATCCAGAGATGATAGAAAGGAGACTGGGAGAAATAAACAAGATTGGGACATTGCAAGCACACACACTTCTGCACAGACAAAATTTTGGGGAAGGGGTTTTGGTCAAACTGAAGCTTCAGTTGAAGGCTTGGGCATTCAAGTGAATGCCCAAACAGCTCCTCCCAGAATAAGGGGAGCAAGCAGGGCTTTACTGATTTGTTGACATGGACTAAATTCTGGTAATTCTCATTATTCAGGGAAATTTCAGGGTTCAGAGATGTTTATTTTTGTGATGGACTTGCGCCAGCAGGTAGTCATAGTCAATTCATCTAGAGGCCTTGGAATTTTGGAGCAGCTGGCACCATCATCCGCCTAAAACCTCGGAGACTTATAGGTCTGAGTCCTATGATAGGACTGAAGGACTTTGGGTGTCTGGGTTTTTATGGCTTCTGAAGGACACAAACAGTGGGGGCAGGAAATGAGACAAGAGAAAGAAAAGACACATAGCTGCTTCAATGGGCAATACAGAGTTAATCCTATATAATCTTGGACCAAACATTAGAAAATGATCAGCCTCCATGCAGAGCTGAGTAGAATTTGACCCAAGTGTCCACCCAGCAATAAGAACAGACAATAAGAAGACAGATTTTATTCCATTTTACACATCTATCACATTTCTATAATTTCATTGTTTTCAGTGAAAAAAACAGTATAATAACAGTTTTCAGTGAGAAAACACTATAATCTCAGTGTTTTCACCAGAAGTGGCCCTCGGGTTCCTGGAAAGGAACCCAGGCAACTGTTAGTGTTACACACAAAACAGAGGTATTATCCTACAGCAAAGCCCATGGGAACCAATTGTACATTATCCAGCAGTGTGATGGCCAAAAGTAGTGATTATAAGCCAATTGATAGCAGATATTAGAGATTTATTTAGGTTGTCAATGATGTCTCATCTCATGCAAACATTCTGCTTTGGTAGTTTTATCAAGGTTTTAGGATTAGTCTTCTGAAACTTTCCATACTACAAGGGGTAATAGTTCATCACGTTCAGGGGTTTATATTGTCATCTTAGCCTTCTGTCCCCTCACTGTTCCACCAGGGTGGCCCCTCACTGTCTCAGCATCAAGCTGCATGTGTCGTTAAAAGTATTATGAACAAAGTTAAGAAACAAGTGGGAAAAAGAAAACAAGTATTTTTGTACTATTAGTATCCTCAAAGTAAAGAGAATTCTTATGAAATGATTTTTAAAGAGTTGTGTTAAAAAATGAACTCCCACGGGTCGGGGATTTAGGTCAGTGGCATAAGCGCCTGCCTTGTAAGCATGCAGTCATTAGTTCAATCCCTGGTACGAAACATAAAAAAACAAACAAAAACTCCCAGGAGAGACAGTTCTCTGAGAAAGAAATATACATACTAATAAATGTTCAAAAAGACATTCGATGTCTCAAGTAGTAAAAAAGAATGGCGGTGATAGTGAAGATAACAGCAATCACTCAACTAAATTAAGCAGAATGGGTTTTAACAGAGGGAATCAACTGACTAGGAGAGTGTTCCAGCTCCGGGGAAGGAGGGTCTCAGCTGAGATTATAGAAATGTCCTCTGCCTCTAGGATAACACTGTAGAACTGGATCACTTGAGGATGCCACAGTCAAGAAGCTGGGACGTGGGAAAAGTACTGCCCCATCTGTTGACTCTGGGGCCAAGCTACCTAAGGTATTGTCCATCTGTGTTTGTAAATGGATGCCTTGATAGCTGCATCTTGCCTAGTAAAGTAAGAACTGGATCTTACAGTTCTGCTTCTGCTGCAGGAAACCAGGACCTTCCTGATATGTGTGGCAGCACAAGCACATTCCCCACATGCCTTCCACCCTCCCATTCTTGCACAAAACACTCAGGTGAGCACATTCAGGTCACTTGCAGAATATGTGGTCTTTAGGTTTTTATGATGGCTGTTCATGGCAGGGGATGGAATGATGCCGACTATATCTTTATTATCCATTCATTACTTTATCTTATTATTTTAAAAGTCAAATATCTGAAAGGATCTAGTGTCTGCATAAAAGTAGAAAAGGGACTCTTCTTCATTCCGTACTTGGTAGGTTATGCTCTGGTATGTACTTTTCTGGTCAGTCATTTGTCAGTACACATCAGAAGCCCATTTGACACAGAAATTTTGTTTCTTAACAACCATTGTAATGAAGGAATCGAGAGACTGCACAAAAATATCTGCACATGAATGATTTCTGTGGTGTCACTGGGAACAGTAAAGGCTTGCGAAACTTGTGGAGGCATTTGGATGAAATGTGTTTTCCCCAACTATTTGGTTTTTGATATGTACATCAAAAGCACAGGTATGTTTGGTAGCTATAGTGTGATAAGGAACTTTAAGATCACCCTGGGCTCACCTGGAACCATAGTCATCTCCTTACATTACTGCATTTAATAACTCTTTAAGGATTACCATTGTTCTGACTTTATAGATCAAGAAACAGATGCAGGAAGAGTGTATAATTTTCCAAAATCATGCAATGAATATTACTGAACTCACATTTCGGTCCAGGTACTCTGATTTCAGACTCACAACTTGCCCTGGGAGGCCTCCCTGGCTAGCTTTGTTACATTTCTATGGGGTAGTTTTATGAGCACAAATGTGCCAGTTGCTCCAACAATTTTGGGCCCATATCCACTCTTACGTATTTTTTTTTCTCTTCTGTACGTTTTGAGGGAAGTTTCCCTAAAAAGCCAGGATTTTGCACATGCTACTTGCACTCTACCTCTGAGTTCCATCCCAGCCCTTCTTCTATATTTTTTGGAAATAGGCCTTCACATTTGTAAGTACACCTGAATGCTGCTGCATGGATCCCCTGGCAACTAGTTCCATTCCTTACTAGGTGTCTTGATCTTTAGTAAAATTTCTCCAGGTTGGGTGGGAGGAAGCAACGACTCTATTAAAATAGCTATATATTGTATTTCTTTAGAAAGTAACTTTTTATTAATAGATTATTGAGGGGGAAATTACTGTGTTCCCACTACTGTAATGTCTTCCTTTTGCTCTTGGCCAGAACCATCCCCTCTCCCATCTAAAAAAATTGAAAACAATTTATTTCCAATTTACACACTGATATGTATTGTTAGTTCAGTTTCTCTTAAGAACTCTGATAACACAGATGACCATCTTTTTCAGAAGTCCTCACTGTGCCTCTCCAGCATGTACCATTCTGAGATTGCATGATGCCTCCAATTCCCACCTCAGGGGGCTACTCCCAGCCTCTCTCTGCTGAGTTCCATTTTCCCAGAAAACAACTCTGTTAGGAAGCAAACCTCACCTCGCTCCAAGATGTGTGACTGGCCCTGAGGAAAACAATTTCCTGTCATCTCCCCACATCATCAGATACGACGTAGGAGAAAGGTTTTCCAGGTGACCCGGTGACAGCCACTTTAAAAGGTCAGTATATGCTGTGAAGCTGATTTCTCTTGTTCTATTACAAAGGAGCCTGTTTAGCTTGGTCGTTAAAGCATGCATTTTACCTTAACCATCCATATACAACAGGCGAGACGTTTAAAACCAAACCAAATCTGGAGAACACAGCACGTCCTATACTGACTGGTTGGGCTGTAAGTTAAACAAAGAAACACAGTAGCCACACAGTCCGTGGACAGCGACTACAAGACTTGTGCACAACCGTTCGGACGGAGGACTTGCGCTATCAGCCCAGTTTACACTCACTTGATGAGGGAGACTACAAACGAGCGTAGGACACACGCGGAACCTGCTCTCTGCACTTGCCCGTAGAAATCACGTAGAGCAGCCAATCAGGCAGCAAATTTTGGTGTGAGGGCGGGACTTCCTTCTGAAGCGCGCACGCGTGCGTACAAGTCCCGCCCCGGAACTGCAGTGGAGGCTGCAGGTGAGAGGCAGTGTCGGAAGACTCCGAGGCGGCTGGTGGGTGTCCGAGAGAGCCAGTGCGACGTCTCCACGAGGTGAATACTAGAGCCGTAGTGGGCTGAGGCCAGCACCGCGTTGGGACGCGGGGCGACACTTCTGGGGGGCTTTGCCGGATTTGGGGTTCTTGGGTCGAGAGAAGGAGGCCGCCGTCCTGGGTGGGCGTACCAGGCTGCACGCGGGTCCCCAGGCTCGGGGCCCTTGGGTCTCCAGACCCGGCGGCTTCGGCTTCGCGGCTGCGTGCGCGGGTTAGTGTTAAGATGCTGGGCCGGCGTCGAAGAAGGGCCTTGCCTAGCTTACTCTGCAGGGCCGCGCTCTCCGCGTCGTCGTCCCCATTCTAGTGACATCTCCCCTCCCTCATCGTATTGGTTTGTGGTTGTGGCGTGACTTGGCTTGGGCAGGTGATGAACCTAAGTTGCGTGTCTGTCTGCCGCCCTCACCTGAAGCCAAGCCCAGCGTATTTTTGCCGTGCGCCACCTTTTTTTTGTGTGTAACGATTCAGGTGTTTCCCCAATTGGAAACTGCACAGAAACTGATCTCACCGCTGCAGGCTAGCAAGAACTGGCAAGTGGTGGTTCCGAGTTCGAAGCGAGTTTTAACTTCTAAAGTGTTTGAGCCTCAGAACCTTATGCTTTTCATTTAGCGAGGTTTTGTGTTCTCCGCGTAATTCGTTGTCTTCGCTTTTCTAAACAGAATGTGATTCGAGTTCCACTCAAAGAGTTGTGCCTAAGTGTTCTTTAAACTATTTAAAATGCAATGAAAAAAAAAACTGGGTGGGTTTTAACCCAAGTGGCAAAGTTCAGAATGATGGTTCAGGTATTTGCACTCTCAAACAATACTACTTCGCATTCTTGCAATAGCGAACCCAGCCACCTTTTCCTTACATACTATGGCTCCTCCCCTCTTTATAGGTAAAAACACTGAGGTTCAGAGAGAAGTAAACTTCTTTGTTAAAAGGTCACACACTCATAAAGTGTTAAATCTGGAATCCAAGGCAGGTTTATCTCATGTCTTTACACTATCTCCTATGTTCTCTCTGTTCTGTGCCAACCTTCCTATTCTTGGGTGTATGTCTTTTTCAGTTGGCAGCATCTCTTCCAGATAGGAGCAGGGTTTTTTTATTCCTGTTTTCGTTGCTTTTGTTTTTGTGTTTTTGAGAAGACTTCACTATGTAGTCCAGGCTGGCCTTGAACTCATTATGTAGGTCAGGCAGGCTGGAATTTGCAGGGATCCTCCTGCCCCAACCTCCTGAGTGCTGAGATTACAAGCATGTACTAGGATGCCCAGCTGGTGCAGCTGTGTTACAGCAATCTTTGTGTGATCAGTTCTTTGCAAGGCACAGTAATTGATAGGTTGCTTAGAAAATATTTGTTGCCTTAGAACCCTGTACTTCTCAGTCACCAACCTAAAGAAACATTTCTCTCCTTATCAGCAACCATGAAGTTGAAGGAGACAAAATTGAAGCAAAAGCTACCACGTCGTGGCAGATTTCCAACAAAAGGCATTAAAGTTGTGGGAAAATGGAAGCAGGTGCAGATTGACCCAAATGTGTTCGCAGATGGACAGATGGACGACTTAGTGTGCTTTGAGGAACTGACAGATTACCGGTTGGTCTCTGCCAAGAATCCCTCCAGTCTCTTCTCAGAGGACTCCAGGAAGAGAAAGGCACAAACAGTTTCAGAAGAAGAGGAAGAAGGAGAGTCTAGCTCCCCAAAGAAGCAGATCAAATTGAAGAAGAATAAAAGTGTGGTGCTGATGTGTGAAGACACCTTTACCCAGAAAGAGCTTGAGGTTGAAGATGCTGAGCCAGACCCCCAGGGAGACAGCGCCATCTGCCCTGGTCCAGAGGAAGGAAAGATAGCATCAGAAACCCTGGTACAGACTGTTCCAAAAAAGAAGAAAAACAAGGGGAAAAAAAAGTTAGAGCCTTCCCAAAGCACTGCCCCAGTGGTGCCCAAAAAAGCTAAGACATGGATGCCTGAAGTGCATGACCAGAAAGCAGATGTGTCAGCCTGGAAGGACTTGTTTGTGCCCAAGCCAGTTCTTCGAGCACTCAGCTTTCTAGGCTTCTCTGCACCCACCCCAATTCAAGCCCTGACCTTGGTGCCTGCCATTCGTGATAGGCTGGACATCCTCGGGGCTGCTGAGACAGGTAAGGATAGCCTTGATAGGCCAGGATTGAATCTGTAGCTGTTAGTAGGCTGGAGAACTGGGAGAGAATGATTGAGACCATAACCTCAAAGACAGTGTTGAATGAAGGTGTTGAGATGTCAGCCAGCTCTGGGTCGAAACCCAACCCTTCCTGAGTTTGGTACCCTAGCTGTATGTCTCTGAGTCCTGTTGTAAAATACAGATAAAAGCTACAGTAAAGTTTACACAGTACATTGTAAGTGATCTGCAAATGATAATTTTCTTTTTAAGCCTTTCTAAGTGGCTCAAAGGAATAAGGTAGGGCCAGGATCAGCCTGTTAGAGAAGTAGATGTGGCTTCCTGGGTTTAGGGGAGAATTGTAATTCTCAAGAGTTGCTCAAATGTAAGTTTAAAAGCAGAAATTAATTTTAACAAACATTTAACCAGTTATATCAAAATATTTCAAAATGTAATTCATATAAGATTATCAGTGAAATATTTCGTGTTTATACTTTTGCACTAATTTTCAAAATCTGGTATGTTTGAATTTACAGTACATGTCAGTTTAGAGTAATTACGTTTGAAGTGTTCAGTAGCCAGAGTTTTAGTCTCTGTGTGTTATATAAACCCAGACACTTCTGCAAACAGCCAGCTTGAGATAAGGTCCTGTGTAAAAATCTTGTAGATGGGTGAGCGAGGAAAAATCAGGAAGGGGAGATGGAGATGACAGTTACTCACAGCACATACTGGACTTCTAAATGTGCAGTGAACTGTGTTACGTGCTGCGTATTGGTGAACTCAGTGTTCAAAACTTCCTTGTGGTAATTCTTTCATTTACCTTTATTTGCCATACTGCGGGTTAAACCCAGGACCACTGACTACATCCCCAGCCCTTTTGTATTTATTTATTTTATAAGTTGTTCAGGCTGGGGTTGAGCTTGAAATCCTCCTGCCTCAGCCCTGCAGGTATTCACCACAGCAGTTCGTTATCCCCATTTTATAAAGAAACTGCCTCACAGAGACTAGATTTTCTCAAACTGAAAAGGTAGTCTCATTCTCTAGAGTAGGTCTGCGTATCCTTAAGCATTGTACTAGACTGCTTTGGCATGTGCAGAGGCCTGGAAGCAGATCTTTGGAATGCAAAGTCAGTGTCTTTGTGACCCACTGTGACTAGAGCCTGACTGGAGGCCTAACCTAAACTGCTCTGTTCCTCTGCAGAATGGTGTGTACCCGCAGGTTCAGCACTGGAAAAGGCATGGGACACTGGGGACTGTAGATAAATGGCTGCCCATGCAACAGTGAACATAAAAATTGCTCTGAAAAAGATGCCTCAGGTTTCTTTGTAATCTCTCCCCTTTCTCCTCCCCCTCTCTATATTCCTGGGTAGGCAAACACTGATAAGCTATTAATAAATCACCATTAATGAGCTTCCATTTTCTAGAATTTTATATAATAGAGTCATACAATATGTATCTTTGGAAGGAGGGTATCGGGTTATTTTTTATTTAGCATAATTTGAGTTTAAGCCATGTTATTTGAAAATACCAGTAGTTACTCCTTTTTGTTAATGAGTGAGGTTCTGACATAGAGTACAATTTAGTCATCCATCTGGTTTTGTGTATGTGTCTGTCTGTCTTTCTGTCTGTCTGTTTGAGGCCGGGTTTCCGCTATGCAGTTCAGGCTGGCATTAAATTCACTTTGTGTCCCAGACTGGCCTTGAATGCTCAGCGAAACTCCTGTCTCAGCCTCCCAAGTCCCGTACGTACCTGGGATTATAGGTATGTACCACCACACCTGGCTCATCCATCTGTTGATGGGGTATTTTAGAAATTACATAGATAAATCAGTCTTTGTATGAGTATATTCTTTAATTTTTGTTGGATAAATATCTGGGTGTGAGAAGAAGGGATCCCTAACAAATGAAGCAAACCAAAAGTAAAGCAGTTATTAAGAAAATGCAAAAGTCAAGAAACTTAATTGCAATATACTGTATGGCTAGATGAGAGCAAAATTAAAATACACCAAACCTTATATATTGACATTAAAAAGCGTGATGTCACTATTGAGGGGTGGAGGGAAGGTTTTATGTGATGGCAATATGAGACCTACAGGTTCATATTCCATACACAGAACTGATGCCTGAGTTAAAAAAAATTAAAATAGTCGTACAATATATGTATATATATGCGTGTATATATATATATATATATATATAAATAGATAGATAGATATAGATATAGATAGCTGAGTGTGGAATGGCTAGATTTTTCTAGGAAATGTAACTTTTTAGGAATTTTCCAAAGTGATTTTACTGTATTACGTAACTACTAGGTGTTACAAGTTCAGGTTGGTCCCTGTTTTTCTTAACTTGGTATGGTCAATCTTTAATTTTATTAATCTTTTTAAGTTTTAGTATTATTTCCTGTAGTTTTACTTCGCATTTCCCTAGTGACCAAGGTGTCAGGCATCTTTTCATGTTTACTTGTGAATCATCCTGGTTATTTACTTTGTTAGCATTTGTTCAGTTCTTTTGCCCATTTTTAATTGAGTTCTCTTATTGTTGATTATTGAGTTTGAGAGCTTTTTTTGTTGTTGAGTTTGTTTGTTTGAGACAGCGGCTTGCTATGCAGTTCAGGTTGGCCTTAAATCTATTACAGAGCCCATGCTGGCCTCAAACTCATGGTGATCCTCTTGTCTCAGCCTCCCGAATGCTGAGACTACAGGTGTGCACCACCCTACTGGGCTGAGAGCTTTTTATATATTCTAGATGCATCCTTTGTCAAATACGTAACTTGCAAATTTTTCTTCCAGTGTTTGGCTTCTCTTTTCATTCTTTCAACAGTGTCCTACAAAGAGCAGATGTTCTAAGAGCTGGAGGTGGTGCTCACTGATAGAGTCGCGAAGGCTGGGAATCGGTGGTAGTTCTTGCTAAGGGCCCTGGATTCCATGCCCAGCACAGAAGAGGAGGATGGAGGGAGGTGGGAAGAAGGAAGGAAATAACTTCTTTATTTTGATATTTAAATTATCAACTTTTTCTTTGATGGATGGCTTTTTAAGAGTTCCGCATAACTCAAGGTCACAAAGATTTTTTTTTTTAATTTTTATTTTGAAAAGAAAAAAAACCAAATGAGAAAACAAAACAAAACAAAAACATGGGGTCATTCAAAACAAAAGGATGTACATAAATACATAATTTATACCTAATACATAATTTAAATACACAATACAAGGTGATCTACAATGGTTACCACGATGTGTCTTGTTACCTTCAATAGAATTGACCATATCATCAGGTACAATAAAATTGAACATAGCAGTACAGAACAAAATCAATTAAAACAAAACATTGGAGACATTATAGAACTTCAAAAGAAGGTAATAGTCAAACCAGAATGGATATGATAGTGAATCTTATTGTCTTCAGAGTAGTTGCCTTTACTCTCAGACTTGATACTATCAAACATACCAGATTTGAATAAAATCAGTCAAGACAAGACGAGGATCGAACAAGACAGATTCAGATAGAATCAGTCAAAACTAGGCAGTGAAAGCAATACAGGGCTTCAGATTAAGTTAATAGGAAATTAAAAATGGTTACCATAGTATATCCTGCTGTCTTTGGAATAGCTGTCTATGCCCTCAAATCTAGTACAAGTAGACAAACTGGAAGGAATATAACCAAACTAAACAGCATATGGGTTTCAAATCATGATACAAGATTACCAGTGTCCTCTGCCTATTTAGACAGTTCCTCCCCTTTCACTTTCCTAGGGTGCATTGTACATTTTGTGTCCCACTAACTCCTTTAGTTTTTAGATTGGCGAGGCATCCTGATATTTATTTAAGTGGTTCTGAACCTTTTTTATCCTTGAGCTTGGTCTCAAGTTGTATCCATTTACCTACCAGAGCCTCAAGGTTTTCTTTCCTTATAGCTGAGTAGTTCTCCATTGTATAAAAGTGTTATGTCTTTCCAACCAATCTGCGGCTGATGGGTGAGCTACCCCCACTTGTTTCTGGTTCCCTGTCACATAGAGCATTATTTTCTCATCTTTGACTTTCAGTCCATAAACCTCCTTCCAGGTTAAATATATTTCTTATATAGAGCATCTTGATGGACCCTATCTCCTGACCCACTCTGCCTGTATTTCTTATTAGTGTATCGAGGTCATCCATGTGAGTGATTATGGCCAATCTTCTCTGTCTCATCTCTGCCTTGCTATTTTTCTGCTGTTGGTTGTCTACTTTTCTCCTTCATTTCACTGTCTGCCCCCTTCAGTGAGCCTCCTCTGTCACTGTTCTTGAAACCATGGTCTTTTTTTCTCTGTCCCTAGAATGTCCTTCAATATTTTTTATAGGGTTAGATTGGTGATCATGAACTCCCCCAGTTCCCTTTGTTATGGAGGCATCTTGTTTCTCATTAATTTTGAGAGATAGTTTTGCAGGGTACATCAATCTGGATTGGAGGTAATTTTTTTCAGGGCTTCGAATACTTTGCTCCAAGCTCTTCTTCTTGATTTGATGGTTTGTGTTGAGAAGTCTGTCGTGATTCTGTGGGTTTTCCTTTATAGATGATCTGTTTCTTTTCTCTGACAGCTTTTAGTATTCTATTCTTGTGTTGAATTTCTGGGATCTTGATTATTATATGTCTGGGTGTAGATCTACTTTGGCTATAGCTGGCTGGAGTTCTGTATGCCTCATATATCTGGATAACATTTCCTTTTCCTATGCTTGGGAAGTTTCCTTTAATTATTTCTGTAAATAGCCTTTGTATTTCTTTTGTGTTTACCTCTGCTTCTTCACTCAAAATTTTAATTCTTAAGCTATAGCTTCTCTTGTCATCTTCTAGCCTTTGTATTGTTACTTCTTGATTCCTTATTATTTTTAACAGATTTTTCCATTCACAATCATATGTTGCAAACCTGTCTTCAAGGTTTGATAGTCTATCTTTAGCTTCTCTCAAGCTATTTTGCCAGCTTTCAATGGAGTTTTTTAATTTCCTGGTAATCTTTTTGAATCTGTTTCATGTATTCTAGATTTTTTTTATATTCTTCATCTACGATTTCTCTCCTTTTTTCTATGTCCCTCCATTCTTCCATCTGTGTCTTCTTGAGAGGTACTTTAGCATTTCTCTTATTATTTATATTATACCATCCTTTACTTGTATTAGAATTTGTGTTTTTAGTTCTTTCATAATGTCTCGAAGGTAATTGTTTATTTCAGATGCTGCTTTTTCATACACCACAGGTGTGCAACTCTTGATCTCCTCTGCGTTTACCTGCTTGGGGCCAGTAGTGTTTGTGTTGGGGGCTGGAGATTTCCTTTTGTTTCTTCCTCTTGTGATTCTGGTTTCCTCTAGACAAGTGGATAGTGGGGATCCCTGCCACTTCCTATATTGGCTATGATTACTCTGAAGCATGCTGGCTAGGGATTGCTGTCCTCCCCAGTCTGCTGATGACCACTGAAGTACAAGCAGGGGCAGCAGGCTAGCCCTCTCTTCTGAGCTGGTCAAGCTCTGGGAGTCTTCACCATGTAATGTGTGCCTTGGACTGGGCCAATTAGGTATAGTTTCAGGGAGACCTTGTCCTTTGCTATCGGATCACACATAGAGGTGGGACTCAGTCTGAGCAATTCTCACCAATCTGCTCTGCGCTAGGAGTAGCTGACTGAAACCGCTGCAGTTCTGGTTCCAGACTTATCCTGCCCAGCTCCAAAATGCTGCGTGACTCCAAAATGACACCTGGCCCTCGCCCACTCCTGCGGGAGGACTGATTTCTGCACACTCACTGTGATCCCGTATAGATCTCTGAGCCCTAACTCCGAGCTGAGTGTTACTCTCCTGCTCTGCTGCTCCCCTCCGTGGCCACTTCATTCTGCCCAGGCCCTCAGGTTCACCAACTTCACTGCAGCTTCAGATTGCAGTGGCATTTGGTACACAGTGGAACTGACTCTCCGGTGAGAGCGCGTCTGGCTATAGCCTTCTTCCATGATCCCCCCCTCCCCCCTTTCTGTCCATGATTTTCTTTTCTTTTTTTTTCCCCTTTAGTTTCTTCCTGGGTCAAGAGGAGGCATCTCCCTCCATCTGGTCTTCTCCAGGATGTTTTATTCTGGCATCTGAGCTGTTTCTCTCAGAGAGGCTCCCTATTTTGCTGCTTACTGACCCTCCATCTTCCTGAACTCCCAAGATTTTTACCTTAAGTCTTACATTTCAGTGTATGATGCTGAGTTAATCTTCATTTGTGTTACTGAATAATTCAAAATGTTTTTGCATATGAATAGCTAATTATTTCACCACATTCATTGAGAAAGTATACTTTCCACTGAATTAGCTTTGCGTTTTTGTTCAACTGTTTTGATCTATTTACCTATCTATACATTACTACCTTGCCACCCTAGAGATAATAGCTTTATAAAAATCATTTTGGTTATTTTAGGCCTTCACACTCCCATGTAAAATTTAGAATCAACTTTTTCTCCAAAAGCAACCTAATATTTGAGTGAGATTGCATTGATTATAGAACAAATTGAGGACAAATATCGTCTTAAAAATACTAAATCCTTCAACCTGTGAATGTGTTGTATTCATTTTTTTTGGGTCTTTAAATTTTCTCAGCAGTGTTTTAATGGTTTTTAGTGTGTACATTTTGCATGTTTATTTCTGTTCCAAGTGATAAAAAACTTTCTATTTGACCGTTGCTGATAGAAATACAGATTTATAAATACATAAACATAAAATACAGATATTTACAAACACATGAAAATACATTTATGTATAAAGTGTATGTGTGTTTGAAATTTCTATGTAAATATATATTAACCTTGTATTCTGCAATTTACATATATTCATTGTTTACCTCCAAGTGATAAACTTCTTCACATGAAATATAAGAACCTTACAAGAGTACATTTCCATTTCTCCACTCCTTTGCGCTTTTTGTTGTATGCTTCTCTATGTGGGTGAAGTCCCAAAAGAAATTTTTTTATATCTGTATAGTTTCCATTTCTGATACTCTTGATTTCCTTGTGTAGATCAAGATTTTGATCTGATACCATCTTTTCTTCTGTGTGAAAGACTTTAGCATTTCTTTTAGTCCAGTTATTTGCTAGTAAACTAAAAATCTTTTATTTCACATTGATTTTTAGAGTTTTTTCTTAAAATTCTCAGATTTTTTTTTCAAGTTTTCAAATAAAAATGTTTTATATTTCCTCCCTCCTGCTTTTTTTGTTTCTGATGGAAAATTTATTTTTCTTAACTGAAGTTTCCTGGGTCTGTTTTACCACTGTTATGGTCATTTTCCTCTTCCTCCTCTTCCTCTTATAATACCTGGTTTTCTGGTGTGACTACTGTTAAAGCTGCACATTTTCAGAATTGTTTGTGAAACTTCTTTGATGCTTATCACGATCTTTTTCCTCCAGAGATCATTCATTTGCTTCTACCCAGGGCATTTTTACTTTGAAACTACAAGAGTAACTCCAATCTGAGGAGAGTGCCTTCCAGGCTTCCCCAGTGGATAATGGAGCTGCAGATAGTCCTGAAACACTCCCCCCCCCACCACCACCATACACACACAAGCCTTTTACATCTTAAGTAAGCACTTAACAACCAGTGGCCTTGCAGTTTGAGGTACAGCAGCAAAACTAGCTTGAATCTCTTTTTTCCTTCACTATTTCAAGGAAAGAAGATTCATTCCTAGTTCTTAGCAGTCACATATGATTTTTTTTTCCTTCCTTGAGAACTTTCAGCCTCGCTGCTCTTGTCCTCTGGGGCCATTATTGAGCAAAATGTGATTCCATAAACCCAGGCAGTGACATTAGCTCTGTGAACTGAAGTGGCTAGAGAGTGACTAAGCAGGAGCGCGTACACAGTGTGAATACTCAAGACAAAGGGAAGGAATTCATCATGGCACTTGGGATACTGTCTGATTTAGAATTTATAAATTGTTTATTTCTGGAATTTTTTCACTTAATATTTTTGTACATGGTTGACCACAAGTAACTGAACGCATGGAAAGTAAACCGTCAGTTAAGGAGAGACTGCTGTAATTCTCAGCTTGAGGTGTTGCTTTGCCTGCCCAGATGATGTGAATTAGGTTCCATGTACTGTATATTAACAGGTCAGTTTGAAAAATCTTCAAGTAAGGACAAAAGTGTTATATTTAAATTCACTGAAAAGCTTAGAAAATTTCCTTTCTTCCCACCAAAGAAAGATCCTAGGAAAGTATCCTATAAGCTTGTCTTCCCCTTCTACAAGTATCTTGTTCCATTAAAACAACAAACTTGTTTTTTTCTTTATAGTTTCATTGCTTGTATGTTTGTAGTTCATCACTGGCAAGCTCAGTTCTCAGTATCTGTCTGTCAAACTTTTCCTTGGCTCCAAATTACAGATTCCTCTGCTGTCTTGTTCTGAAGGAACCTGTGCGGAGAGGACGAGCTTTTTGTGTTGGTTGGGGTAGCTCTTAGCTATTTTAAGGTGTTTTATTCTGTGTAAAAGAAAAAGAAAATCTATATGCACCTGTGGATTCAGACCATTTTGTTTTATTTCCTAAGGAAGTGGGAAAACTCTTGCCTTTGCCATCCCGATGATCCATGCAGTGTTGCAATGGCAGAAGAGGAAGACTTCACCCACCGCAGGCCATACTGGAGTGTCCCCTGGAGAGACTGGGCCATCAGGTGAGGCTGGACCTGAGTCTGGGGTGTTGCCTGATGAGGCCGGAGCTGAGGCTGTAGTGCTCCCAGCCAGAGCCAACATCAGCGCCCCCGTCTCAGACCAGGCCCTGCTCTGCGATGACGATGCGGGGGAAGGGCCTTCTTCTCTGATCAAAGAGAAGTCTGTCCCTGAACAGACTGAGGATGAAGAAAAAATGCTTGATGGAGAACAGACTGGCGAGTTAAAAAAGGAGTTGGATGGCAAAACTGCTACCTGTGGAACGCATCCAAAGCGCCCTCTGCTTGGACTGGTTCTGACTCCCACACGAGAGCTGGCCGTCCAGGTCAAACAGCATATTGATGCTGTGGCCAAGTTTACAGGTGAGGTTTAATTCTGCTTAGTAAGTGTTTCCTCAGTAAATCCTAACTGTTCAGTGGTAAAGGTAAGTGAACTGTGACCTTTGCGCTCTAGGAAAAACCTTTGATCATCTGCTGGAGAAAACTGACTAAGTAGCATTTTCCCAATTTTCCCAATGATGCCGCATAGCTGAGTCCATTCTAGACAAAGGAAATTAGTTAATTTATTGGCTATAGATGCTTCGGACAGGGGCATGCAACCTGCCTGTTCTTGTACATAAAGCTTTATTGGAACATAGTTGCACCTGTGGTATATACTGTCTGTGGCTACTTCTCTACCACAGTGGCAAAGTGGCATAAAGTTAATTGTGAGAGACTGTGTGGTCCATGAGGCCTAGTAATGTTTGCTAGTGATCTTTTGAGAAAAAGTTTACTGACCCTGCCTAGGGTAAGAATTTCTATAGAGGAATTCTTTTGTGGAAGGGTTGTACAATGGGAATTTTAGTATTACAATAAAAGCAACATTTTAATTGCCAGGTTCTTACAGTGTGCCAACATTTTGCTAAACATTTTATCCTCATGATCCTCTGTTCATTCCTATGCTGGTACTGGGCAAAGTCCTTCACTAGAGAGAAAAATAACAAGCATCAAGGGAGCCTTGAGGGCAGTGGGAAGGGCTTCTTTTTTTTATTGGTACCGGAGATCGAACTCCGGACCGCCTGCTTGCAAGGCAGGTGCTTATGCCGCTGAGCTAAATCCCCAGCCCAACACTGTTTTTTGTTTTTTTTTTTTGTTGTTGTTTTTTTTTTTTGGTACCGGGGATCGAACTCATGACCTTGCACTTGCCAGGCAGGTGCTTATGCCACTGAGCTACATATCCTTCCCAGCATCTTAGTGAACTAATGTTCGTGCTTCCCAGCTTTGGGGGTAAGCATGACTGATTGCCATCTGTTGTAGTTGGAAGGGAGGATGTAGAAAGAAATGAAGAGGTAGACAGTACCCACATGACAGAATACTCAAGTGCTCTAGAAGTTGGCCAGGCCAGGCCAGCTTAATTAACACCACCCTGGAGCAGGAGGTTGGGCTGCTGACCATTTGCTAATCTGGGGTGCTATTTAGACATGTGAGAAAATAGTAACCAAGCTGAGTGAGTGTCCTTAATGTTTTCTGTCCCATAGGAATTAAAACTGCTATTTTGGTTGGTGGGATGTCCACACAGAAGCAGCAGAGGATGTTGAATCGCCATCCTGAGATTGTGATCGCCACACCAGGACGGCTGTGGGAGCTTGTTAAAGAAAAGCACTCTCATTTAAGCAACCTTCGGCAGCTCAGGTGAGAGATGGTACCTCTCCCTTACCCACTGTAAAGCTTTAAGCGACATGATGGTGTGTGCTGTGCCTTCTCCTTGTCCTAGAGTGCCATTGTGTGGCCATCCTGGCCCTGTCCTTAGAAAGCTAGGTGTGCATGAGGGAGTTAAGTGGAGGCCCTCCTGGTGATGGGAGGGTACCTGCATGTGAAAGTGTGTGGCTGAGAAGGGAGTAGAGTATGCAGATGATCCCTCTTACCTGCCACTCACCAGTGATGGCACTCTGTCTGGATCCGCAGGTGCCTGGTAGTGGATGAGGCAGACCGGATGGTTGAGAAAGGCCATTTTGCTGAGCTATCACAGCTGCTAGAGATGCTCAATGACTCCCAGTACAACCCAAAGAGACAGACACTTGTTTTTTCTGCTACACTGACCCTGGTACATCAAGTTCCTGCTCGACTTCTTCATAAGAAGCATGTTAAAAAAATAGACAAAACTGCCAAACTTGACCTCCTCATGCAGAAGATTGGCATGAGGGGCAAGCCTAAAGTCATTGATCTCACAAGGAATGAGGGTACAGTGGAGACCCTGACAGAGACCAAAATCCATTGTGAGACGGAGGAGAAGGACTTCTACCTGTACTACTTCCTGATGCAGTACCCAGGCCGCAGCCTAGTGTTTGCCAACAGCATCTCCTGCATCAAACGTCTGTCGGGACTCCTCAAAGTCCTGGATATCATGCCACTGACCCTCCATGCCTGCATGCACCAGAAGCAGAGGCTCAGAAACCTGGAGCAGTTTGCCCGGCTGAAAGAGTAAGTCAGGCCTTCTGCAGATACTGAGCCTGTAGCCACTGGGCCATGGAGAACTCACGATGGTAGGGAAATGACAGGAAGTCACCTTCTGTCACAGGGTCCTTAACAGCAGAAGGGAGCCATTGTTTCATTTGTAAGTTTGTTTATTATCTGGCCAAGTCACCCTCATTTAGTGTATTTGCTTGCTATTATTAAAGCCCTCTAGAAATTCCTATAATAGTGACATAACAGTGACCATCCTTACTATTACTGAGCATTTAGACAACAGATAAAGACCTGTGCTGACCCTTTAGGTGCATTATCACCTTCAGTCACTTCTAATATTCTGGAGAAGCAGCAAAATATATTCATTCTGGTTGAGAGCGCAGACTGAAAAAGTACTGTCAATCAAATCCTGGCTCCTTTACTTGCTAGCCAATCCAGTTATTTTACGTCTCTGTGTTGCATTTTCTCATAATTGGGACAGTTATAGAAGCTACTGCATGGTATTGTTAGAAAGCTAAAGTAATTGAGAATTTGTGTATGTCAAGTGCTTGGAATAGTCTTTGGCACACAGTATGTATGCTAAATGTTAGCTTTAATGACTAGTGGCTTGACTCCCACTATTCTCATTTCAGAAATGAAAAAAAATAAGGTCTGAGATCAACTCACCCAAGGTTTCTCATCCTAGAACTGGCAGAGCTGGGCCTCAGCCAAATCTGTCAGACCCCAGAGCCTGTGATCCCTCTCACTGAGCTGTTTGTCCTTCTGTCTTTGCATCAGACCACTGTTTTCAAGGAGCAGAGTACAAATAACCTGGGGAAGAGTGAGGAAGTTTGTGATGGTGCTAGGCGAAGTCACTGATCCAGAGTATGCAGGGCCTCGTTTAATTCCCTGGAAGGCGCCTTGGTCAGTGTGACCTGTCGATTGGGTCATGAGACAGGTTTGGATCCTGATGCTACCTACATACATCTTGGAAACAAACCTCTGGGACCCCTTCTCTTTTTTTCTTGGTTTTTTTGGAGACTGGGTCTTGCTGTGTGGTTTTGGCTGGCTTTGAACTCACTTATGTAGCCGAGGCTGGCCTTGAACTTACAATTGTCCTACCTCAGCCTCCTGAGTGCTGGGATTACAGGTGTGCACCACCACACCTGGCGCCTGCCTCTTTAGGTAGCATCTTGTAAGATGATTGTAAATACTGTGTGTGTGTTTGAAGTGCTCAGCACGTGGTAGGAGTTCAGTGATTGCTCTTAGTTATACCTAGTTATAATTATGCGTATGCTTTCTGTCTCCATAGTTGTGTTCTCTTGGCAACAGATGTGGCAGCTCGAGGCCTGGATATTCCTAAAGTCCAGCATGTCATCCATTACCAGGTAGGGCTCTGGGGGTTTGTCATCTCGCACTGAATGAGGGATTTTTAAGTCAAAGGTTGAAGGGAGAAGAGGAGCCACTGGTCTGAGGCCAGGGCAGTAGGTCCACCCCCAGCATCTAGTGCTTACTGCTGCCGCTTTTGGAACACCGTGAGAGTCAGTCTCGGGAAGTCCTTGGTATAGTTTGTACTCTAATGGCAAGTAGCCTTCCCTACAGACTTGGGATTGTCAGGGTGGAGTCTTAGTTTCTCCCATGAAGTGGATCATCAGTTACGCACGTGTCTTACTTTTCTGTTGCTATACTAGAATGTCTAAGACTAGAGGATAATTTACAGAGAGCGAGATTTGTTTTGGCTCATGCTTCTGGAGGTTGGGAAGTCTAAGAGCATGGCCCCAGCACTGGCTCAGCTTCTGGTTAGAGCTGCAAGGTAGAAAGACAAACAGAAATAACCTTGATTTGTAACAACATATTCACACAGTAACTAACCCAGCCCTGTCATAGCAAGAAAATCTTCCCTTGAGGTGCCATTAACCTATTCAGGGCACTCTGCCCCATGATCTGATACTTCACATTAGGGCCCCATGTCCCAACACTGCTGCGCTGAGGAGCCTCAGCATGAGTCATAGAAGGGACAGATCTTAGGCAGACTAGAGCAGCATGCGAATGGTTATTTGGCATCAAGAGGTAGAAGAATATGGTAGCAAAAACTTCTCTTAGCTTAGATCCCAGTAGTGTAACCTTGGTCAAGTTATTTGATCTCCCTACACCTTTGTTTTCTTACAGGTTAACTAGCAGTTATACCACCTACTTCTTAGGTTCTAACGAAGAAGTAAAATAATTTACTATTTACAAAAAGCTTAAGAAGTTACCTGGCTCACTGTAAGCACTTGCTATGTTAGTGCATGATGATAGTACAGTATCATTAGTGCGCACAGCTTATAAGAGTAGTTGCTAGGAATATGGGCTCGGTAGCTAGAGTGCCAGGCTATGACGCTCATCCGATGCTTCATGGCTGGCTGAATGAGTTATTGGGTACCTCCTATTCAGTGTCATTGTAATGGTGCTGCCTACCCCATAGGGTTGTCATGAGAGCTGTAGTAAGCTCATGGTGAAGCGCCCAGCTCGGTGTGAGTACTCCCTAAATGCTAGTTAGGACATTTTTATTGTCTTTCTCTGTAATCCTTCCTTGCAGTTTAGAAGTCTCTTGGGGTATGGAATTTCAGAGGAGCAGTCCCTACTTCCATTTGGGGAGGGGTTGGGTCAGTCCTTGGGGGAGAGAGCAAGGTGCAGGCCCTGAGAATTTCTGTGACACCCCTAAGCAGTGCCATATCCAGCTTGGGGCAGGGAGGGGTGAGCACGCAGAAGATACTAGAAAGCTACAGAACGTATTCAGGAAATAGGAAAGTATTGTACTTGAGAGGATGTGGATATGCAGGAGGAGGAAAGGGAAAAGTGGGGAACATATGGGACTGGGCAGTGTTGGGGAGACGTGGCCCAGAGTGGGAAGAGGGCTGTATTGGGGGAGGGGTAGGTAACTGCTGAAACTGGCAGGTGACTTGGGGTCAGGCCAGTGAAATCCCTGAGTGTTAGAGTGATGAGCCTTTATCCTGGAATTGAAGAACCGTGAGTAGGCTGGGGATTTAGCTCAGCTACATAAGCACCTGCCTTGCAAGCGGGCAGTCATGAGTTCGATCCCTGGTACTGATAAAAAGGAAAAAAAGACAAAAAAAAAAAAGAATACCTTTAAAAATGGGCTGGGGGTTTAGCTCAGCAGCATAAGCGCCTGCCTTGTAAGCAGGCAGTAGTGAGTTTGATCCCTGGTACGGATAAAAAGGAAAAAGAAAAAAAAAAAAAGAACGGTGAGTAGATCTCATTTCTAGAACCATTATGACCAGTTCCCAGTAGCTGCCTGGAACACTGGATTGATGAAAAAGATACCGAGATGTTTTCTGGGCTCAGTGGAAAAGACTTGTGTGCCTGATCAGTGGGATGTGCAATGGGAGGAGGAGAAAGGGCTGTCAGGGCCTGGGCCACGTGGTCTGTGGTACTGTGTCCAGTGTGTCAGAGAGAGGCGGTGTAGCTCAGGGTTGGCATGATATCTGGAACTGGACTGCTTCAGCTTGAGTCCTGGCTCATCTCTTTAGCTGGGTAACCTGGGGGGAAGTTTGACCTCTTGGTGTGTTAGTTTCCTGGTCAATGAAATGTGGATAACCAGGAAGTGACTCTTTCATACGGAGGGTTAAATGGTATAATGTATGCGTAGTGGGTACAGTGCCATTGCTCTGCGCATTTCTTCAGATAGAATGGGCGATTATGGTCAGACCTGGACTCAGGAAGGTGACAGTAGCAGCATGGGTCTAGGGCATGGTGGACAGGAGTGGGAGGAGTAGACACCAAATAAAAGTTGACCACCATGGTCCACTTGAATGCTTCCGAGTGAGGCATGGGAGGGCAGAGGCGCACACAGTGACCAGGTGGAACCTGGGACAGTTTGAATGGGGGAGGGGGTCCATGTCAGATTGGTCCTCAGTGCTGCAGAGGTGCCTGCCTGCCTGGCTAGTAGGGAGCAGCTGCATCTGACCCTGGTTCCTGTCTGACCCTGGTTCTTGTTTTGGCAGGTCCCTCGTACCTCAGAGATTTACGTCCACCGAAGTGGTCGAACTGCTCGTGCCACCAGTGAAGGCCTCAGCCTGATGCTGATTGGGCCTGAGGACATAGTCAACTTTAAGAAGATCTACAAGACTCTCAAGAAAGCTGAGGACATCCCACTCTTTCCTGTGCAGACAAAGTACATGGATGTAGTCAAGGTAAAAAGGAAGTTTTGTGCAAACTCCCATGCCCTGTGATTCTGGCAGCCTCGTGCTTGGAAACTGAAAACAGGCTCAGAAATGGAGGTGTTTTCTCCTTCAGCCATGTGTTTGCTGTCCAGCCCCGAGTCTCTGCCCTCCTCAGTGTACAGGGCAGTGAGTGTGGCCACATGGGCTTTCTGTCTGAGGGCTGTGAAGAAAGACAGATCCTAAAGGTTTGGCTGCATTCTTGAAGCAGAAACCGATAAATCCTGCCTGGTGAGTTCACTGTAGCCTAGCGGGTGTTCCCCATATGGGTGTCAGGTGTCAGGGAGCAGAGCAGGACACTTTTCCCCAGGGGCGCAGCAGTTTTTGAGCAGGCCAACCACATGGGGTCCAGGTTGAAAATGTGGGTTAGGGACTATACAGTTACGTTGGGAGGAGAAAGCATTTATTTCTGCAGCAGTGAGTGGAGAGGTGAAGAGGAACAGAGTTCCAGAAACAGACAGCAAAAGCATGGCGCAGTGAAGCACTTGTGGCTGTTTTGTTCAAAGCGCATATTAGCGGAAAGATGGCAGGAGGGCCGGGGACATAGCCTGGTGGCACAGCAGTGCCGGCCTGGCAAGTGCAAGGTCCTGAGTTTGATTTCTAGTACCAAAAAAAAAAAAAAAAGAAAAATGAAAAAAAGATGGTGGGAGATGACTGGAGTGGGAAGATGGAATGGAATTCCTGTTAGGAAGGAGGACGGGAGCCCCATGGCTTTCCATGGTTGCAGCCCCCCTTCTGGGGGAGACGTTGTCACTGCTCTCTGACCTAAAGCCAGTGAGGAAAGTTACTGCAGCTAGCCGTGCCATGCTGTTCGCTTGTAGGACAGCTCTTAGCGGGGCTGCGGGAGCAGTCCATTGGGAAAGCGGTCTTGTGCTTGTGTGTGCACATCCATGTGATGGTTGTCGTCTGGGCCTTAATCAAACGTGTCAGTGGGAGCTAAGTGCATCCTGACCACTGATCTCAGGAGCCGTTTTACAGTACAGCTTCACTTCGCAGAGGCCTGAATCCTCTACATGGTGACTACTTTGTGTTCCTTTCCCCCAGGAGCGAATCCGCCTAGCTCGACAGATTGAGAAAGCTGAGTACCGGAACTTCCAGGCTTGTCTGCATAACTCTTGGATTGAGCAGGCAGCGGCTGCCCTGGAGGTTGACCTGGATGAAGAGATGTATAAAGGTAAGCCTCTGGGCTGGATCAGAGTGAGGAGGGACATTGGACGTGTTTTCTTTTTCCCTTTAACTTTTGTGTTTTACATTGGAACTTTCCACACTATGGGACCTTTCAGAACCAGCTAACTGCCCTTTCATTTGCTGCTAATGGTCCCTAATCCCTGGTGAGCCTAATGCCTTCCACCTTTATTCCCTCTATCTCACCTGTCCTGTCTGGAGCCCTTGGCTGCTTCTGTTTCCCAAGCATGGGCCGCAGAGTCCAATGCAGAGAGCAGGTGCCCTGGTCAGACTGCATTTATTGGTAGCTCATTTCCTTAACTCCTGTGTGACGACATCAGATCATGTAACCACTCGGCTGTACCTCAGTTTCCATACCAAACTACTTCCCTCCCTCCTGGGGTTGTGAAGATGACTGAAGAATATCAAGGGTGTGCAGCAGTGCCTGGCAGAAAGCCATGTGTCCCCATTCCTGCTGTGTCCACCTTCTCAGCCGACGGAGCACTTCCATGTCGTCATCTCACGGGATCTCCAGTGCCCTGACACATACAGAGCGGGAGCTACTGTGCTTTGTGTGTGAGCTCACAGAGAGGGGGTTTGTGCAGAGAAGCAGGGCCCCACCAGGCACTGCCTAAGCCTTACTCTGCAGGGACAGCATTTCAGGGATGTGTGTGCATGGTCCCTGCATAGGACAGGGATAACAACTTCTACCACTGTGATACCAGAGGTATGGCCAGTGCTCCTTCTACCCCATCACGCATGCCCTGGCACTCACCGCATGTCAGGGCCCGTCCGCAGAGTCCGAGGCAGGGTTGATGCATATTGTCTGCTCAAAGTGGGAGCCCAGAGCCAAAACATGGCTTGATGTCAGCGAGCAGCTCAGGCCTGGGAATTGGGTGAAGGTGGGGTGCTGGGGACAGGAGTGGGGGAACCCCTTGACTAGGCCTTCTGTGCACGTGCAGTCACAGCATGCTGGTGAGGTGCAGGAGAGCTGAGCTTACACAGCTTTCACTGTCTCCTCCAGGAGTCTTAGCTGTCAGTTTGAGGAAGCCTTGGGGAACAGGCAGCAAGTGGGTGGAGGAGGAAACCTTACCAGTCAGGAAGCTTGGATGCTGCTGTGTCTGACAACTGGCTCTGGGACCTTATCAGGTGCCTCCTCCAAGCCCAAGCTGCCTGTCTGTAAAATGATGACAATTCCTGCCTTTGTATTCCATGTAGAGTAAAGGACAGAGCGGTCCTGCCTACACCTCCTGAGTTTACAGTTCCCCTCGAGCCGACACTAGCTTCTGCAGACAGCTTCTGCACCTTGCCTCCCAGTAGTAGTTCCCAAACGCTTTTCTTTGTTGTAGCCATTAAATGAAGCAGAATGTTTCTGCATACACAGTTCGATCTTGTTTTTATTATGGCTCTAGGAGGAAAAGCAGACCAGCAAGAAGAGCGTCAACGACAGAAGCAGATGAAGGTCCTGAAGAAGGAGCTGCGCCATCTGCTTTCCCAGCCGTTGTTCAAGGGGGACCTGAAAACCAAGTACCCCACCCAAGCTGGCAGGCCGCCACTGCTGGCGGCTGCCCCGGGGCAGGGCGAGTCTGCGCTGAGCTGCCTCTCCAGACAGAGGAAGAAGCCTCCCAGGCAGCAGCAGCAGCAGGGGCTGCCGCGGCTAAGCACAAGCGCACTGTGACCACTGCCGTCAGGCTGCAGTGGCCTGCACAGTGCTGTCAGCCCACCACCCCTCGGTATGGAAATCTGCTCTTCCACTCTGGAGCAGGAGAGGCCTGTGCAGACCTGCGTTGTGAAGGAGCGTTGTGTGCAGCAGTGCCACCTCCTGCATTCCAGTGCTCACAGGCTCCTCGTGTATTCAGCTTGTTTTCTTGAATTAAAAACCCTGGTCAGAGCCAGTGTCATCCTAGTATGTGCAGCCCAAACATGGGAATGCAAGAGCAGTTTGTTTCCTCATTAACGATGGGGCAGGAAGAGGGTCACAGGCGCTGGCTGCAGGTCATGTAATGCACTGCTGCCGGGTCCCCGGTGTGTGCTCCGCAGCAGCTGGGTCTGGCCTGGCCCAGCTCTACCTCTGCCTGTGGCAGGATGGGTTGCCTGTGCTCATGCAGCCCCAAGGATTCAGCATGGTTTGCAGCACAGGCTTTGCCGTGTGCCCGGGATGCCCTTGCTGTCCCCACCTTGGAGGAACACTGTGGGGTAAGGGTGACAATGCTGTTCTTCCAGTGCCCACGCTTCCCTTCCTTGTCACATTGGCCATGCTGTTCTCTTGGCTGAGCTCTGTGGGGTGCAGACCCTGAGGCCTGGGCCTGGAGCCTTGTGTGGGGCTGTGCTGAGGGGGGTGGGCGGTGCATGGCTCACTGCTGCCCAGCTTTCCTTGGGCTCCCGGATTTCTGCCAGGTCAGGCTGGGCTTTTGAGGCATTCATTTGGAACATGGGACGGCTGGCATGGTTCAGGAGGTCCTAAGGGTGTGAAGAGGGTACACACGTGGACCAAGGTACCCCAAGATCCAAGCACCTGGCTTCCCTTTATACCCATTTTTGTAGTTGAGAAAATACTGACTGGTTAAAGCTGGCTCAGTCACACAGCAGGCAAGCAGAATGAGAACTCAGTGCATCCTCCGAGGCCCATGGCAACTTCAGACAAGTACTTTGGTCTTGGGAGGCAGCCTTGTAGCTGGGGAATGTCCCCAGCCACCCCTACCCCACCACCCTCCAGTGTCTGCTAGAGTCCTGCCAAGAGAAAACAAGAGCACACCTTCCATCTGGAGGCCAGGACAGCAGCGGGCTGGCATTTCCCAAATGGTGCAGTGGAGACAGTAAAAGTGGACATACGGCCCTGAGCAGTGGCCGAGCCCTGGTCTCCGGCCACCCATTGGACTGCACACCAAATGGAGGCTGCAGCAGGGCCCTTCCTGAGTCCCGATCTGCCACTAGGTGACGACTGTCCCTCCCCACGTAATCGCACATACGAGGACCCCAGGATGGGTGGTGCTCTTGGATGCATGCCTGATACCCAACATTAGGAAGCAGGACAAGTTGTACTTGGAAACATTTTAATGCCAGGAAGCCTCAGCTGCTGCCCAGGGAAGCAGGCTCACGGTACCGAGACGGCAGTGCAACCTGCCAGGAGTGGCTGATGGGGCCCAGGCTGTGCAGAGCACTGACCATATAGCCAGTATTACAGCTGCCTTCACGGTCTCGCTCCTTTTGAAGCCATTAGCCTATTGTGTGTCCGTTCCACACAGTGGAGATTAGAGCTCAGATAAGCAGAGTAACTTAGCCAGGGTCACACAGCTGATGTCAAAGCTGAGATCTGAACACGGGTATTTGGCTCTAAGCCCTTTTTCTTTGTGCTTAAGATAGGAACCCAGACCAGAGTGAGAACACTGCTGTGTTGCTGTTTTCCAGTGCTTGTTTCCTTTGGAAAGAAAGTAACACCAGCTGGTGTAAAGATGAGCCCTCACAGCCTTTGGCCTGAAAAAGAGTCGAGTCTCTCGTGTGAGGCAGCTGCCCAGGAAGTGGCAGCTCTGGCATGACTGGCTGCTGGACACAGGTGACTCAGTGCCTGGATTTCAGCAGCCCGACTTGTCCCCTCCACAGAGCCTGCCTTAGGGATGTGGTCTGAAGGCACACTGGGGGTAAAGGCAGGGCTTGGGTTTGGTTTTGTGAAAAAAGGAGAAAAGCAGCAGGCGGAGGACGAAACCAGCATGACACACCCCTACCCAGGTACGGGTGCTCAGATGATTGAACACTGCCAGAAGGTAGGCCTGTTTGGGTGCCAGAGACAGCGCCTCCAGCAACTCCCAGGGAACCCCACAGGGCCACGGACGCTCAGAGGGGCAGCTAGTCTGGCTTCTGTGGTGCTTCAGAGCCCAAGGGTGGGCCCAGGGCACACCTTGGTACCCGTCAAGAGGGCCTGGGGTTCACACACATCGCATTGGAAGTAGATCCCTGGAGACACGTCCAGGCCCTGACATTGCTGCCCGGGGCAGGACGGGACGTGGAACACATTCTGAGGTGAGGGTCAGGTTTACATTCCTGTAGAAAACCTCGAGCCCTTGGATCTGAATGCAACTGAGGGCAGTGTGGGAACCAGGGTCCCTGCCTGGAAGTAAATCACCCTGCCCGCTACTGGCTTTCACCCAGGTTAGATTTATGTCTTGAAGACCTGGAGTTAGTTGTAGCACCAACTGAGTCTAACAAGTGTGCAGAATGAGCCTGCTGAGAAGTCAGCCTTGGTTAGGGAGGCACCCGAGGGCACCTCGCTTTCTCCATGTGCTCCTGCAGGGGTGGCAGGCAGCTAGCAGAGCTGCAGCCTGGGCAGTGTCTGGTTCCCCACCAGGGCCAGCTCGCCTGAAAGTAGGCAGGCGGGGTAGGTGAGAACACCTGAAGGGAATCTGCAGAGGGATGAACAAGGAAGCTGCTGGCCAGGCAGTGACACACTGCCACTGTGCATGGCTTGTCCCTGCTCTTTGCCAACTCTCCCCTCGCCAGGCTGTAAAGATCAGAGGGAAAAGGAGGAAAGAGGCGAGAGAACCTTGCACAAGATCCACTCTGCTCAGCGGAGTCACAGCGGCATGGGCCTCTACTAGTTGAGCACCCAGATTACACCTCTGATCTGTGGGGGGTGCCGGGGGACAGCTGCAGTCACCTGGCCCCAGACAAGCACAAGGTGTAGGCCCCAGTTCCTATGAGCCTTTATCCAGATGGGGAGACAAGACAGCAGACAGCAGAACCCTGAAGGCCCGCTCTCCAAAGGTCAGGACCCTCTGGCCCTGAGGGAGAGGGGCCCCCAGCACCCTGAGCTTTCTTCATGCACAAGGCTAAGGCCCTGTTCTGGACTTTGGCATAAAAAGGTCTCAAGTGAGGGGTGGGAGCACAGCCCCATGGTGAGTGAAGTCACCCACCAAAACCACCTCCACAAACGACTGGGCTGGACATCGTCACAGGTGTGCTGTCGCTTGAGTCAAGACAGCTGGCCTTGAGTTTTCTTCTCCCTGCAGAGGTCGTCCACTGCCCTGGTGAGGGAAGCCAGAGGTCCCCATTTTCATTTAATAGGCTCCTCCTCCAGGTAAGTTAACAGGTCCAGTGAGGATAGGTGACCCGTACAGGATCTCACCAAGAACTTGGGTGCACAGCCAGGGGTCCTGGCTTTCTGGCCCAGAATTAGAAGGCCTATGATCCTCCATCAAAATAAATATTAAAAATACCACCAGTTACCATAGTCCATAATGGCAAGCCTTGTTTCCAGAGGCTTTACCCACAAGGCTGTGTGTTTTGTAGCTATTGCCTAAATCGCTTAAGAAATAGAAAAGCCGAATGTTCCATTTAGAATGCAGTTCCGTTAGGTGACAGGTTCCACTGCATGGCCTAAAATTAATCAATGTTTATCAGCTGCATAGAGGATGTTGTAGTGGGATGTTTTATAGAGCAGGAACACGGAAGGGATGGCAGCCTCGGGGAATACGTGGTGGTTCAGGGCAGTGTCCATCTCGTCCACGTACTCCACCTGCAGGGCGATGTTCAGCGCCTGGGATAGGGCTGTGATCTGGATGTGGTCACACTCCATGGCCATGGGCTCTACTTCCTGCAAAACCAAGGTGAAAACACAAGCCAGCTCAGGTGCTGCTGACAGAGGTCTGGGTTGTGGTCACAGTCTCTGTGTTGGGAAGTGCTCTTCATGGCCACCTGGGAGACCAGGTGTTGATACCCTCACTTCACAGAGTGCAGGCTTCAAGCAGAAGCAACAATGCTAGAAATTTTGGCGGTTTCAAAAACAACATGCAACTTTTTAAATTTTAGGCCCTTTTACTAATCTGGAACAAGGCAGGGACTATGCAGCCTGGCACCAAACAGAGCCCAACAGGACCCTGTGAAGCAGTGAATCCAAGCGTAAGTGCACACAGAGGCCAGGGGCTCAGTGAGTGACCGCATCTGGACTCTGAAGAGACTACAGGGAGAGGCAGAAGCATTGACCCACAGAGGCCCTGCTGCTACTTAGGGCCACACTAGGGTCAGGGTCTAGCGGGTCTGATCTAACTTTTTAAAGAGACACCCAGGGCTAGGGATTTAGCTCAGTGGCATAAGCGCCTGCCAGGCAAGTGTGAGGTCATGAGTTCAATCCCTGGTACAAAAAGAAAAAGAAAAAACCTAAAGAGACATCTGGATATTCATATGAAAATAGCTTCTAGTTTTTAGATGTTGGCCACTCTTTCACATTAAAAATAAAAACACATCTTGGGGCAAATTGGAAGCTGCTACTTTTATACACAGACCAATCTACAGCTTCCAGATGGTAAATCCCCAGAGGGGAAATGACCTGTCCCAAAACACATGCAGCCTGCTAACCCAGTGAGGCTGAACTGCCAATGTGATACCCTGGCCAAAGATGGTGACTGAAACCATGGGAGACCGACAAGAGCCAGGGTTGCATCCCCAAGGCCTGAGCCCCAGCAGAACCTACGTGAGTGCAGAAGTCTTTGATGTCCATCTCCTCATCCACGAAGTGTCGGAAGAAGTCGGCGCGGTTCCTGATGAAGGCTGACGTGAGCAGACGCAAGAACTGCACGATGCGGTCGGAGAAGCTCTGGTCATTGAACACCGTGAGCAGGCTGGACACAGAGCCGTCCTTCTCCACCAGCTCTACCACGCTGTAGAACTGCATAACACTGGCCATCAGCAGGGGCCACCCCGGTGAGACCCACCCCACTAGCCACAACAGCCTCAGAATGTTCATTTTGAGAGCCTCAGCCATGGGATAAATCAACTGGATTCTGCCAGAGCTGGGTGCTGGGGGCTAGTGCTGTGGCCAGAGGCATGTCTAGAAGATAGCATGGCTGTCTCACGGCCCTCATCACACATTCAGAGCTGTAGGGGCAGAGGGTCAATTGC